CATCAGCATAGCTTCAACAAAAAAGAGGAAAGTCTGAAACTGAACAAGGCCTGTCTTCCGCATTGGAAAATACAGCCTGCAGAAGGTCAACAAACTTTACCCAGCCACAAGGACTAGGGATCATTGCACAAAAGAGACCTGCTAAAGACACCCATCAACCACAGTGACAGATAATTTCTCCCACTTATCACACAACAAAAACATGCTGATCACCCTATCTCCTGAAAAGGACAAAAGCTGTTCCCACAGCTATAAATACTCAACTATCCAACAAACAGCAACAGAGCATGGACTGAGTTCCTACTCCAGTCCTCTGAAGATGCTGGCCACAGAGACTGGCGAAACGTCAGGAAGAATAACCTTCAGAACACAGCCAAAGAGCCCGAAAAACCAACAACAACCAATATATGCTACCTTGAACAACTTGGCAGAAGAACTAAATAAAGATATAAAAACCATCTCAGTGGGATCTTCAATCACTGGGCTAACTCATTTGTGATATTTAGTGTGTTTATTAGAGAAAATGAGAACCCAATTTTCATTAGTGAATATATAGTGAAAAATGTCAATTGCAGCAGTTACTTCTAAGCATAAATGATCTCAGTGAATATACGTAATACCTGCAGACTGGCCACAAGCACATCTTCTGCAAGAACTTTAATCACATTACAAACTAGAAAAATAAACAATGGCTCAAGTCCCAACTTTCTCAGATAAATCTTTCCCTCCCAAATCTTGGGAGACCATATAGTATTTTAATAAAACATCTTACACTTCTGTCTTCCTTTCTAAATAGCAAAGAAGACACTTTTCTCTGCAGCAAAACATGTTTTGATAATGATACAGTTCCCAGTACAGGGAAGAGTAATAAAAATAGTCCTAAACCATAACTCTGGGAACTATACAAAGTTTTTTTCCAACAGTATTTTCAGATTAGTACTAAAAAGTCTGCTTTTACTGGTTCTCAACAGCACACCAGAATCTCAATTGCTCTATCAATAGATGGAGAAAAAGCTGATACTAAGAAAATTAATATTGCTAACTGGATTGAACTGCAAAAGAGAATTTCAGTTGTTTATGAAGAGTGAATTCTATCTTCACATGACAGGCCATGAAGCCTGAACAAAGTTCCTTAGCTCATCAGTAGCCAGCTCTGAATTCAGAGCCAGTCTTGCACAGGACAGACAAAAGCATTAAGAAGAATCAAAAGTTAATAACAGCCAGGCTGACTTACACCAACTGATATTAGTACTGTATTTAAAATGTTCCTATTTCACCCGTCTATCTTACTTCAAAGCCTCAGATATAAGAGAGCTTAACTTTTCCTTTGTGCAACAAAATCCTACTTACACTTTACCACTTCAGCATGCCCTCAACTCCCATGCAGGTTACAATCTTACATTACAAGTTCAGATACTTGTCACCTTACTTACTGCTCATCCTAAACTTATTTTCAACTTAAAAGTCATTCATCCATGAATTAAGATCACCAGCATGCTAAGTCAAGAACAACTGCTTGTAGAAGTCAAGATGACTGCTTGTAGAATGAATCGATCAGTGCACAAATGCAGTTGACATTTTGCCTTACGGTTGCATAAATGCATTTCAACACCTGTTCAATGTGCACACAAGTTCCTTCATATAAGTTGGGTTATTCTACATATCTCCAGAAACAGCTCCATAGGAGATGGTAAATGTACAAAGAAGATGGTGATACCCACAACTGGAAGAACTATCTAGTTTTAAGCTGAGAGTGTAATGATAGACATGGTGAAAGCCTCTTCATGCAACAGTTCTGGATCCTGCTGCAATAATTTATATTATACAGTGTTTGTGGGGTCTTTCAGTACTTATCACTGCACAATCTTAAAATTATGTTTGATAAATTTTATACAAAGAATAAACAGTATACAGTTTTTAAATAAAAACAAGAAACATAAATATGCATTGACAACTCCAAAAGCCGCATGATAAGACCATACTTTTGTTTGTTTCAGGCTCACTGATTTTTTCTTTATTCTGCTCTCCACACATTTAACAAAAACTTCTAATGCTATGCCTGAATTTGGTAATGTTCTTTGTAGCAATTTCTATTAAAATTTAATTTCACCTATACTTGTCTGGAAGATGCTGTGTTAAAAAACAAAGAGCAGCACACTACCTGAATCATTGCGGAGATAAGATGACATTGCTGGAATAAGACATGATTGACTAAGTAGCTCTAGCAGAACTGAAGGAAGGGCATTGCTGTTTTGCCCTCTGCTTTCATGGCTGGAAGGGGCATCTCCATTTGATGTGCTGCCTGCAGGATTTATATAGCTAGCCAAAACCTGAAAAGTTTTTAGAAACATCAGAGAAAAAAAATGAGATAATGATATAGAATGTGAGTAAAAAATCAAAAGGTTCCCACCATTCAAAATACTTGTTAAATGAACCAATAGCCTAGTTACTGTTTACCACTTCATTTATGTATTATATTTTTAGTTTATTATATATTTAAAATATTTTACCCTGTCTTTCTCCTTAAAAAGACCAAAGGTAGCTTACATCATTGAAAGACAATATTAAAGCTAACAAATACTAAAATGGATCATGCAAACACTACGCTAAATAAAATAAGCAACACCAAAACACACTCAAAGCAGTAAGGGACAACATCCATTAAAACCCCCCACCGAGGCAGCCAGTCACTCAGGAAGGGCTGTAAAGATAGTCCTAGTCTCCTGTGGCAGGGAGTTCTGAAGTCTGGGAGAAGCAATAAAGAGGAACCTCTCCTCTGTGCATCCACCAAAGGCATCTTCAAAGCAGGCAGGACTGAGAGAAAGGCCTCTCATTATAGACTTAACACTTGAGCAGGCTCATAAAGGGAGGTGCCTTCAGTATATCTTTTCTAATACTATGCAAACAAAATGCTTGAAACAAAATATTCATGATCGTTTGGAAACAGCTTTGAAAAGTTTTCATGATTAATTTTGGAATTAAATGATCAGGTTTAATGAAACCTTAACATTTATGTTGTAGATCAGACATTTTGCCAATAAAGTATTATCACAAGATGAAGTCCTGATCCTTCATGTTTCCACCCAGCTTTTTCTGCATAATACTGGGGCAAAATAAATCAAATGCTTAGAATCTTTTAATGGAACCAACTGATAACTGAAGGCAGAAAGCCCATGTGCCGAAATCATTTTTTTTAACTTGCATGTTTAAAAATGGCTCATGATGTAGCATTCTTCAATTAAAGGAAAAAAGTGTCCTGTTCCGTACCCACTACTAGCCAAAAGATTGGGTTGTGGCCAGGATCTTTAACATTCACTAATGGAAGAACATCTTAAGCACAAATGGAATGTCATTTTCAACAGTAATCTGTTACTTTTTAGTTATATGCTATTTCCTTTACTTTTCTCTAAAGAGCAACAATTCATAGTATTACTAAAGCATTGCTTTTACATCATTAAAAAAATTAAAAACTCAAAATAACAAACTCATTAAAAAACTCTTTTAAAAAACCAACAAATAAATTTTACTTGTTACCATGATTTAATCATACTGGCACTGTTGTTATCCCAAAGTAAAATGTTACAGATAACACTGTTACTTCCAAAATATTACACAAGCTATCAAGACAGTACATCTAACAAAGCACAGATAATTTACACACAACAAACATAATTTTCAGCCAACTGTATGAATGTTGTGCATTTTTAATACCTGCAAGAGACAAGTCACATGCTCTTCTTCCAGTCTCTGTTTGGTTAAAGCTTGTTCCACATCCCATCCAGAAGCAGTAGAACCAGTTCCAAATCCAGTGCCTTTAGCCCAGTAGAGCTGCTGTTCTTCTGTGGATGCACTATTATGTGTGCTTGATACCTGTGGCTGGTATAAAGAAAATCAGTCGCCTTTTGGGGACTATTTAAATTTCATATACTATAAGAAGTAGAAATATTAATGCACCCTCTTTATTCTGATCATGGATGCACAGCAGAACAAATGTTTGAAGAGATTATTTATTTATTTATTTATTTATTTATTTGATTGATTTATATCCCGCTCATCTGGTCAGATTGACCACTCTGAGCTGCTTCCATAAAAATTATACAATAAAGCATAAAAATTATTACAAGTAAACAACACCACATATAATAAAACAAATAGATAGAAAGAGAAAGGAAATTAAGTATTGACAGGAGGGAAGGCCTGAACATATAACCATGTTTTTAGCTGGTTCTTAAATGTGCCCAGCGTAGGGGCTGCA